TGCTACGGCAAATATACATTTTGGTATAAAAAAAATGTAAAGGGATGTAGTGTATGGAAAAATGTAATAAGTTGATATTTTTTTAACGACGTTGTTCTTTATGCGAGGAGTACCGTAGTGCAGTAACCTGCTAATCAATCTCCAGCCGGATTCATACTTAAATGTTTTCTTTTAAATGTAAACATTATTACCTCGTAACTTTTTATTGGATGTGAATAAGTGTGTAGCCTTATATACATCCTATGATACGCATGCTAACCGTTAAAAAGAATGTGCACTCGTATAATATCACTTTCAACTTTTTCCGATTAAACTTTCCTTCAAAGAAATTATTCGTGTTCCCAATAGTCACATGATCCAGCCGTTGAGTAATATGTACTCTATGATCCAACAAACATGTTTCGTCGACAGTGAGTGATATAAGCAAGTGAAATCGAATCCGAACAACGCAGTCCATCTCTGGGGAGAGCCGCCTATCATAACCCACTCCCCACAGCGCTCTTACAATCTTCGGTTTCAAGTCTTCAGCTCTTCGGCGCCACTCCCCGGGCGGTGGCATAGGTCACGCCCCTAGGTTAGGCCCCTTGTGATCTTTCACAAGTAGGCATAGAGTCTGAAATATTCTAGGTGTGTGTACGGTTCCCTTGAATCTGTCATGATTTTGGCATTATTTCGTGCGTAGACCATCAGTATCCAACAGGCCCAAGACATGCATGGGATGACGCTAACATTGCAACGTGACCTTGATCGAAATTTCATAATGATGACCTTTGTAGTTATGCAGTCGTTCTATTTATAAAAAAAATAACAATAAAGTAACAAAAAATAATTAAATGTTGTCAATCGTTAGTCATGGCACTGCCATGAATAAACAAATTTAAAAAAACAAACAATCAGTAAATAAAAGTTTAAACTGTATTTATTACAGGTTCAATCAATTCATATGATGCTATTAAAGTAACTATGATATAATAATTATTAGGTCTATTATTGTGTTCCGCATTTTACATCTATGTGACGGATATATAACAAAAATATCAAAACCATTCTTGAACTACCTTATTCATCAATATGACAGACAAATCTTAGCAGATTTGGTTCCTATAATAATTATACATCATGTCACGACATTGCCATTGAAAACAGGAGGTGCCCAGTTATGTTAAGGGGAGAAACCCGTGACTGCATCCTGGTTGGAGCGCTTTTATTCACACTGGCCAGTGGCAGGTTTCTGTTTTACACCGTTTGCGATTTATGCCTTTACATAACATTGTAACATTTGTTCAAGGTATTTAAAATCTTTTCTAAGATACTGTTGTGTCGTTTAAATTAAGCCAGGTTCTAGAGGAGAAAAAAATGTACGTTTGTAGACATGATTTTTGTAAGATACTGAAGAAGCGTTTGAAGAAATATTCGAAATCGACTAATATGCAGCAGTGACAAGGTTGGTTAAGGCGTTTGCGTGTACATCATAACGCCCGTGTTCGAATCTTGTTTGGGACGCATATATTTTTCCTCATCCGTGTACAATGATTGGCTTATTATATAATATAAATGGTATATACCTGCACAACTAATATTTATATGATAAATAACTTATTAAATTAAATTTATACATATAGGCCTATAATAGGCTTATACGTATAAATTGAATTTAGAATATTTATCATATTAATATTAGTTGTGGGCCAAAACTAATAACTTATAAGATAGCACTGTGTTTATATCTACAGGTGGAACGCGTCTAAACGATTGATTCAGGTGCGGTACGCGTGCATTACGTGCAATTAGCAACTCCCCAAGATCATCACGCACCCTCGGGGCAAATCCAACGTTGGTAACATACTCTTCATCCATTATGCCATTTAAAATCTAAATTTGTAGATGGTAAAAGTACTTAAGTTTCAGCACATACGTGGTATCCCTCAGCCGAAAACAAATACTCGTAACTAAATACCTGAATACAGACACAGTATTTCTTAGGCCCTAATAACGATTGTAGCAACCATAGTGGTGTTGTTTTTTCTACCTGATGTTATCGTATTTCTGGCCACCTACTAATATTCATTAGATATTTTATATATTCCATGAAGACGTCAGCATACTAATGGCAGACCCGGATGTTGTTTCAAACTGCAGCTCAGTTATTGAACTGTCTTATTAGGCGTGTATTTTTGTGATTAGGATAGAGGGTTTATTAAGTAAATAAATAAATTATAATATAGATCTATGCTTCATAGTAAGCGTACGTGCGCTTGATAACCGTTGTTGTGCGCATGTCTGACCGAGATTTTTTTTACGATTACGTAAAGATTATGGACTGCGTAGCAATTATTGAGTGTGGGGTGTCATGTGACTGTTTTTGCTACATAAGCCATAATATTATATTTTGCAAATAGACGTAAACATGTTAAATAAAACATACAAAATAGATAACAGGCCTAAAAAACAAATTGAGCATTACATACAATGATGTAGTGTAGTCATTCTGTGAGATTTTTTTTCAATAGGCCTAAAACATGTTTATTGAGTGGATAAATTTGAATGAATCACATTGCATGAAATACGGTATAAATTGCTGTGTGTATAACTAGTCTATTTGCACGATAAAGTTTAGTCATTGTTATACGTGGCTAGAATGTTGTGCATACCGTACTCCCGCGAATAAGCGCCCGGGCGCTTAAAATATTTTTTTTGCACTTTCTGAGGGGCGCTTATTAAAACGGGGCGCTTATTTAAAAACGAGGCGCTTATGAAAACAGAGTGGAAATTGAGGGGGCGCTTATGGAAATCGAGGGGTTCTTATGGGAAATTATTAAATTCAAGAGGCACTTTTTTAATGGAAAGGACATTACGAATGTTGGTTAGGCGGAACAGATAATCCTCCACAGAAAATGGCTTATGACAAGAATGCGTGAATATTTACATAACAGCAAAATAGCAGATGCAATTAGTGGTGGTGGGTTGTGGTTAGCTTGTTGGCCATCTGCCGATTGAGATTAGAAGGATGGCAGGATCGTTGTGTTTTTTCTTGAAAACTCAGATGAGAACAGTGCTAAAGGTCGGAAAAAGAAAATGAGGAGTAGGACAGGCATAGACAAATTATGTGAAAAGAGTAAAGTTGGAAATATACTGTCTGTCCAGGGATCGGAGCTCTCATCTGTCCAAGAGAAATATCCTCATTTTGGTATTGACCTAAGAATGTGTTTCCACTCTGCAGCTCAAATCATGCCAACAACCACAGTCCCAGGATTGATTGGATTATTGACTTGCAAAAAAGAAAATCTTATGATATTATTGAAGGGGCGCTTATCCAAACGGGGCGCTTAAGGAAATTTTCACGTTATATACGGTTATTCGAGAGGGGGCGCTTATTCAAAACGGGGCGCTTATTCGCGCGAGTACGGTAACTGCATTTCTAGATTTCTCTTTGTTTATCACAATATCTGTTCTGCTCCTCTCAAAGAAAATTCATTGCTTCTTTCAATGTTTCCTTGTCGTATTTTCTGTGGCTGATTTTCAACATGATCTATGTATTGAATCATGCACACATTAACTTTAAAGAATCGGTCAAAACGGAAGAAATCTTTTTCCACGTTTCATGTGTCGTATTCGATTTTTATCTTTTGATTTTATCTGGATTTTAGCTATTCCATTGTGTCTATGATATTCATTACAAAAAATTACTTTTTTGATTGGGTCATAATCACCCCCATAAATCACATAGACAATTAATTGTAGTCGTATTTGAATTTGGAATTAAAATAAACAATTATTAACTGCCGTGAGGAAGCAAGATGAAATATGAGATTTTTGCTTGATTAATGGCCATCATTAGTTTGTTTCTTTTGCATGTATAAGGCTGAGCCAGTCCGTTAAGACCATTTTTTTATCTCACGGGAGCTACAAAAATACAAGATTTTTAGTACGACGTGTGGCCGCACGGATACACTATGGAGGGCGCTAGACCATTCTCTTCATGAGCTATTTTTATCATTACTGTATTTTTTATTTGCTTCTTATCTTTAAGCCGGGCACAATACTTCGCTGAAGGTCGTCAGTAGACATGATTAAAAAAAAAACACGCAAGGTGACTCGAGGCGCGCGCAAGGAATTGCATTAACGACAATCCATTGAGACTGCCATCGAAATCAGCAGACGGCGTCGCGTTGTCAAGTGCTCGCAGAGAGCGGAAATAGATTCGTCATAGGCCCAGGGGCGGCGATAGCGGTGGTCCAGGGGGAGAGACCCCCGTCGGCTACCTCTGGAATATCCCCCCGCTTGGATCCCCCTGTCGGGGAATTTCCATCAAGGTCGTCGGGGAAAATTGAAATCCCGACCGCCGAAAGTACCATTTAAGTATGACCTATTAAGATGTCAAATATTAGGGATTAATAAGTGTTTAGTGTGAGCAGTGCTACCGTATGTGCGTGGTGTTGTATACTATCACGATCGTATGGGTTGCGGTGGTAGAGCCAGTTCTCCGACAGCGGGCTGATACCTCCGACAAGTGATTAGCCCCGACAGGGGGTGGGTTGGCTCTTGACTTGCATGGTTCTCTATCAATTTATCCTTTTCAAATAAAGAATATTAGGCCTATAATCAACACTATGGGGGAGGGTGGGTAGGCTTCCCCGATGGGGGTGGGGTGAACCCCTTGTCGGGGAGCTTGGACCCCTCGTCGGGGAATTCCTGGCGCCACCCCTACATCGGCCGAACGACCATCGTAAAGCGCAAATGTGAACCCAGTATTATATTAGGCCCATAAATAATCTGATTGCTTTTTCTATTTGTATTGCAAGGGGCGGGAGAATTTCTATTTATTCAGTCAATAACATATCTTGTTTATTGTATTATATAGGTCCTGGAAATCCAAAATTAGGGCACAAATCGCGAACTCAGCTCTTTTTTTAGGAAACGTATTTATAAGGAATGTCACTACCCCATAATTAAACGTAGGTCGAATGAATCGCAACAGGAGTTGGTGCAATTGAAAAGATTATATCAAACGACTAGTACTTGATCGTAGGAGGAAATGGATGTAGAATAACTGTAATTTACAAGAATAAAGCTCATCTCAACACAGCTGATACGATTAGAAGACACAGGCACATACCCTATATACGTATAGGGTCTGTGGCAGAGGTAACGAACACAGAATTATTACGTTTTATTATATAAGTTAAGCCTATATCCTTTCTGAAGTAGGCCTAGACAAATAGTTCCACAAGCCACGTTATTTTATACTGTACCTACATTGGCATAGCCTTCAGATGTGAAAGTGGATATCATTTGACCATAAGTGGCCCGCTTCCGTTTCGGACAGCGTGATTTAATAATACTGTACGGTAATTTCGGCGGACACAAGTTGTACTGGTCTATGTATGGTTGTATTATAGGTCTACTTTTATACTGCATTACACTGAAGAAACGAGACATGTTTTCCTGTTTAGGATAGGCCTACAGGGGCAGATCGTTTAAATTGGACCAGCATACGGTAGTGGATCACGGTCATCGGAACGTCAAGGGTCGACTTTGGTCTGAGAGGCACTTCAAACACGGAAATATTTTGTCAAGGAAAGGTTTAAATAGTAATTTGCCACTCAGAAAGGCACGGTCCGTGCCTAGGCCTAATAAAATGTAAGTAAAACCTCGCAGTGTTTGTGTTTTGTACTTTCTAATATAGGCCTATGCTATTTGCTTTCATTAATTGTCTTGCCTTTATATTTTTTTTTTTATAGTGACAGCTTATACCAATTGTTTGTAAATGATGGGTAAACTATACTTAAATTTGAACAAGTACGATGGACGAAATAGCTCCGCAATTGACGCCAACGACAGAGCGATCATGCTGCTGCCGTGTCCTGACGAGAACAAACGTACAATGAACGGTTCGTCAAGAAAACGTGACGCGTGCGTGGTGATGCTGAGTGTGCTGGCTTTCCTGGTCGTGTTTGCCTCATCTGTGGCTTTAGTTAACATCGGATTTAAGTTTTTGTTTGGCCTCTTGGGTTAAGGTGAAACTGTTATCTAGGTCTGTCGAGAAAGAATATCGATGCAGTCAGACGCTTGCAATGCTACATTGGTTTTTTTTTTTTTTTTTTTATAGAAAAGTTACTCCAACATTTGCAACGGCCAATCGCAACCAGGCTAGCTGAAGAATGTCTACGAAGAAGTATGAGAGAAATATTGTCGAGCAAAAACTTAAACAGAAATAAAAGCAGGTTGAAGCAAAATAAAATAAACTAACCGATTCAGACATAGCATATTACCTATCAATGAATAAATACATTCAATGCATTATTGTCTATCAATAATGCATTCAAAATTTCACACGTGAGTACATTTAAAAAACCTACATCAACACAGGAAGACTAATAAAGCACTTTCATATGATCCGCATCTACTAGAAAAACAGCATCTGTATTTTCTGTGATATAGCTTTCCAAGAAATAACTCCAACATTATACTTAACAAACAAGGTATTCTAGAATTTACTGATGATCTCATAACACCAATATCCTGCCAGGCCAGTATTATGAGCAACTAAAACATGTATCCTGGGGCGGACGCAGCAGACGGTACGGTCGCACCCCCTGAAGTGTTTTAAAGAAAAAAAATTTAATATACTTTATTGTTGATATAAGCTTATTATTTTTATCATTATGAACATATATTATCGGTAAGATTTTTAAAGTATGAGAGTGCAATTTCCGGGCATCTAGAGGTCCATATTCTCAAAATTGTCTCGCCTCAGCCCCAGTCATGGTGGGGCTGAGGTGATGTGGACTCTCACGCACCCCCCTTACCTCCAAATCTTGCATCCGCCCCAGGTATCAACTGGCACAATGGCTGGCGCGAATAAAACCAGTAGCGAGCATTGTCATAGCCTTTGAAAGTTTTTAAAGAAATATGCACTACTATATTATAATGTTAAGCCTATTTATATGTTTCTTTTATAAATTTTATTTCATCTCATCCAAAAATAGGATAACACTATATAAATACCACGAACAAAACATCTGGTCAGATATTTTTTTTTAATGCAATGGCTAAATAATATTAAAAGAAGTCTCTATAATTCAGGGGCGGATCCAGAATTTTTCAACCGGGGGAGGGGAGCACAACATATTTAGAATAGATAAGTGAGAGCGCTAATTTCAATATGTGCCTTGAAATTTTAAAATTTAGTGGCAAAATGGGGAGGGGTGGGGCACGTTCCCCCTACTGGATCAGCCCCTGTAATTGTAATTTATTAGATAATTTCATTCTTAACTTATCATATATACACTGACAGGAATTTAAACAAATATAGGCCTATATGATAAATCAAACTGGTTTGATCGTGCTCAAACGAAGCCATCACTGAATGACTACATTAGATACAAATATGAACCAAGTTTTGAGTCGTACCTCTTAGACAAATGTAACGTTTCAGAAGCGACTTTTAAGTTTAAAGCTCGATCAAGCTCACTTGATTTAGAAGGTCGCAAAGAAGCCTGGTCAAATTTAAACACAGGCCTCTGTAAATTGACTGTAAAGAAACGTGGATCACTTTGTTTTTGAATGCTGCAAATTTAATAATATTAGAGATGGAATTTTCTAGGAACATAAAAATGAACCTAATAAATACAACCTTGATATATTTTAGGATATGTTTACCTTAAGTTTATCAAATTTTAGGCATCATCTTTTCTTTGATGACCTGTCATCCATAACGAATTTCCACGTATTAAATACGATTTGCTTGAATCTGATTATAATGATGTTGCATTTTTGACAAATATAGTTAAAAATATCTTTATGTCGCATGAGGCGAGTACAAGACGAAACAAAGAAAGCAAACACCGGATTGGATGGAAATTGTCATTTTATTCAATGACGAAAAACAATTTAATATATAGTTTATTCAAAATATGTAATGGGGCAGCCACCCATTGATGTCTCTATAAGCATATGCCCTCCCACGACATAAATTCATTTTTCTTCATTTTTACGAAAAATTTGTTTTATATCGCTTGGATGAGGCGCAATAAACTATACAAGAACCTGTAACGTTATCTTATAGAACACCCGCCGGACTGATGTTGAATCTGTCCTGGCCTGTTTATGTGAGCGCAATCAAATTTGACGTTCTGGTAATTTGAAATGTTTACTGTATCCATGTTTTTGTGTAGCTCGGTGTGTTTTATTTCATTTTTTTTTTAATTTATTGCAAATAAGAATTTTCTATTGCGCACCACACATGCGTCAAGCTTTTTAAAAGATATTGTTGTTATTATTGTTAATTTATTATTGAGATATGCAAAAACGGTAAAACATTATAATAATTTACTTAAAATATTATGTTGTTTTACTACTCATTTTTTAGTTTAAGATTTAGTATAAGTTGTTTTTTGAATAATGTTTGCTTTCCTTTTTATATTTTATATTTATATTGTTCTTGGGTGCACCATCAAAGTGATGGGTGCAGCTGATTTGAAAATGAACCCAATAAATTGTAAATCGTATCGTAACCAAGAAATTAGAATAACCTAACGTGATTATATCGTTTGATCAATCGTGTTTTGTACATACCGCCCTCTTCGGAAGATGTTTTGCAATACCGTACTGTACAGTATGTATCGCTTTCCTAAAAAATGTTATGCTGCTCTTATAACGGGCCTAAAACGTATGTAGGGATTTGTTTTCTGTTGCTACCACCAAATAAAAAGGACACGTTTTCATTTATGCTTTCAACTTACTATGACTTTGACACCTCCAGGTTTAAATAGAAGAATTGTAGACTCAATAAAGCACTGTAGACGCAATGAAAACATATAGACAAATAATAATAACAGTGCTCAAATCGGAACATGTAATAATCGAATCATGCATAGCTCATCAACGAAAGTTGCTTTTATTCTTCAGTTGCATGAAAGAAAGTGTCTCTGGCGGGATTTGAACCTGCAACTTTTCGCTGTCAAGGCGAGTATCACACCCATTAGACCACAGAAACCTATAGGATATCTTGCAGTTCTAACTTCCCCAACCCCATGCACTTTCTCTGATACATACTAAATTTGTCACAAGTTTATGTCTGTGAGTGCCAATTCCGCCCATAGAGGTGCCATAGTTATAAATTTTCTTACCTCAGCCCCAACCATGGTAGGGCTGAGGTGGTATAATTCTCCAACTGTGAAAGTCCCTCCCTAGCCCCTTTATTCCAAATACATGGATCCGCCATTGATATTATTTCATTTATTCGTCGTTAAAACATTTAGAATAACAATGCAAACATGATTAAAAAAAACGAGCACATCTAATATCCCACGATGGAATTGGCGACCGGGACCCAAAAAGTGCCCCTATACTAGTTTCAGAAAGCCACATGTCCTCCGACCCCATTGTTACGCCACTGTGTTCTTATATATTTGAGCACTGTATTTATTGATTTATACATTATTATTATTATGCATAGATAGCAGATATAGGTCCCGGATTCGAATCCCTGTTTGAGCATTTTCTTTTTTTGCACTCGCAGTTCCTCTTCTTTAGCGTTGAAAAATTTATATATATATATATATATAAAGCAAGACGATTTTAGTTGATCTCTTCACGTGTTACCAGGGGCGGATCCAGAGATGTCCAAAAAGGAGGATGGCCGAAAGGGGTTGGGGGGCGAATGTTGGGCCGATCGAGACAACACTGTACTAGGGGGTCCGAAATTTTCCGAAATTTTTGTGTTCTAGACGCCCGAAAATAACATTTGAGGCGTTCTGGGCTATCATTTTTTTTCTTTTTTATATAGAGAGAGAGAGGCCCATATAAAAGCAGATACAAAAAATAAAACGATTGCATACGTTGACATAATGGAGACATACAATTTATTCAATACGAATATTTCATCACGCTTTCCTCATTGTTATGATGAGAAATACAGATAAAAAAGGAAAGTAAGCGAGATAAAACCTAAGATAATATAGGCCTACACCTAATAAGCAACTGAGAAGTAATTAACCGATAAACCAATCAACTGTCGATAACACTTGAAAATGTTGGCAGTAAATGGCCTATGACAAACAACAGAGTAAGATAAACAAATTGTCGGCAATAAACATATATAAATGACATATTGGGTCTAATTAGGCCATCATTTAGGCCTATATCTTTCTTAGTGAAAGAATAACCACTTATGAAGCCTAAAATACCAATTTCAATTGTGTTTAATTTATAGATCACAGGATCACAGGATTTAATATAAATTTTAATCACGAAATCATGAATGTTGGTATACCAACGATTCATTCAAGTAGGTCACCCCTCCATACATTAATTACAGTATAATGGTGCTGAAGTACGGTAGCATAGAGAGAACCCTGGAAGGTTAAGCGGAAATTATGTAAATAAACGCGATAGATCAAAGTTGTATATTATTGTGATTTTAATTCATTGCTCTCTGATGGCCTGTAGCTTCAATTTCTATTCTACAACATCATCAATAATAATTAAAATTCTCTTTAATTCAAATTTAATTTGGAAATCTAATCGGAAGCTAAGATGCCTCACAGTAATGAATTTTTTTAATTGTTCATTTACTATGAAACTGATATTTGAATTATCACGATGTTTTCACCTTTGTTAGTTCATTTAATTAGCTTTGAGCATACAAACGTGGAGTTATGGATAAAAAGTAAGTAATGCTTGAATTCGTGCGGAAGTTTAAATGGGTCAATAACGCCATCGGCTGGTTACGAAGTAAATCGCATCTGACAATGCTGCAGTGATGTCCTACTTACAAACGTTACTTGCAATTACAATTTGTCATCATTGTTGTTTCAATCAGAAATCAAAAGCTTATCAATGTCATGCCTTTTGAAATTTGGTTATTGTCTGTTCACACATACAAACGTCATTGCTCATCCATCATCCACTCTCTATTGTAGATGGATGAAATTATTATTAATGTAAAGATTTGCTTTTGCTATAGTATTTATGGTTATTTTAGGCCTCTGTTACTAATTGAGCTATGAAGAATATGTACTGCACCATGTATTTATTTTCCGAAAGAAAGATGAAAATCAAAAGAAAAATACTATTTCAGCTCGTCATACCTATACATTATATGTTTTGTATAAATTTATCTCTTTCTACGTATTTGCATAAGAATCCTGTAAAAATCAGTGATTGGCCGTACGTAGCCACCGGTACGGTTGATCAGGGGGTACGGTTGATCAGGTTTCAACCTGACCACTTTTTGACAGACCAGAGGTTAATTGATTAGGAATAGGGAAAAGTGCTAAATTCCGCTTGACTCAACCTACTTCCTCTTGGCATAACTCAGGAACCGCAAGTCTGTGAACTCTGGGGTGAACGGGTAATGATAGTATACAGATTAAAAAACAAGGATGCATTTGTTCTTCCGTTGAAATTCAGTGTCTGTGTGGGCTTCGCCTTTACCCAGCAAGTAGGTAAAACTACTTGATTTCCTTACACTTGCCTAGGCCATAAAGGACTATGAAGGAGAGGTTAACATACCGTACTGTTACTAGACTCATCCAGCGTTATCTGCGTTTTCCGCATGCGGTTGTGACACGCTGCGTGTGTGTTAGGTTTTTGTTGGCACCTTAATCGAGTAAAATATACCGAAGGCTTATAGTAGGATGGCGAATTCAAACGATAATGTTCTTCCAAATGAACCTCATCACCCTAAAGCTGATTTTTCATTTCCTAAACGATCATTTGGAAAGGCAAAACCTGTAATGTGCTCAGCACAATCCCAGTGGTTCAGGACCTGGCCATTTTTGCATTATGTTGAGGGGAAAGATGTTGTGTTTTGTCACACATGTGTAGCAGCTGTAAAGCAAGTGAAACTCAAGTTTAGCAACAGTATGGCTAGTGCATTTGTAAGTACAGTACATAAATTTGTGTTTTATATTTAAATTTAATATGATTTTTTTTTTATCAAAAACAAAACACAGACTTGCTATGTTTTAGCAGACTAAACTAATAACAATAATATTTATTTAAAGGTAACAAAGGGCTTTTCTAATTGGAAAGATGCAACGACTACATTTAGAAAGCACCAACAATCAAAAACTCATGGAAAAGCAGTTGAAGTGGTATTAACATTGCCAAAGGCAACCAAGAAAGTCGGAGAGCTACAAAATGGAGCTCACAGTGTGCAAAAAGAAAAGGCAAGGGACATGCTTCTACTGATACTTTCAAGTATCCGTTTTCTTGCCAGACAAGGACTTGCTTTGAGAGGAGATGGCAGTGATGCGTCATCTAATTTAATACAACTACTTACTTTAAGAGCAGACGACCAACCGGATATTCTTCAGTGGATTCATAAAAGTGCTTGCAAACACACATCACCAGAGAATCAAAATGAAATGCTGAAATTAATGGCTCATCAGGTTCTTAGGCAAATCCTACAACAGATCAACAGCTCCCCGTTCTTCACAGTCATGGCTGATGGAAATACTGATAGATCCAATAGAGTGAAACTTACATTGGTAATAAGATGGGTTAACGACAATTTTGTCGTGTCTGAGGAGTGTTTAGGGCTATATTACCTTTCTGCCACTAATGCAAAAAGCATAGTTAATGCCATAAAAGATACAATTACACTCTTCAAGATTCCTCTAACAAAACTTCGTGGGCAATGCTATGATGGATGCAGCAATATGGCAGGAGCAAAAGCTGGGGTAGCAACAATGATACAAAAAATAGAGCCCAGAGCTGTCTTCATGCATTGTTATGGACATGCACTCAACTTTGCAGTCGGTGAGACTATCAAGCAGTCAAAGACTATGAAAGACTGTCTGGATACTTGTTATGAACTGCTGAAATTTATCAAGTTCTCCCCAAAAAGAGAGGCTATGTTGCGTGATTTGAAAGAGGAACTCGTCAGTGATACTCCTAATGTACAAACATTATGCCCTACAAGGTGGACCGTGTGTGCAGGAGATCTTGCCAGTATCCTTGCAAATTATGACAGCATACAGCTCTTATGGGAAGCTGCATTGTGTGCTACACCTGACACTGAGATGAAGGCCCGGATTCGTGGAGTGGAAAGCCAAATGCAAAAGTTTAAATTTTTGTTCGGGCTTGTGTTGTCAGAATTAATTTTACGTCACACTGACAAACTTAGTCAAACCTTACAGCAACCAAATTTATCCAGTGTCGAAGGTCATGAAGTAGCAATGCTAACTATGAAAACACTTCAAGGAATTCAGTCAGATCCTGATGGTTTTAATTTGTTTTGGGAAAGTCTTGAGCTGCTAAGATGCCAACTCGATGTTGATGAACCACATCTTGAAAGAAAAAGGAAAGCTCCCAGGTGGTTCGAAGAAGTCAGTGCTCCTGGTGAGTTTCCTGTATCTGTTAAGGATGAATACAGACGTGTGTATTTTGAAGCATTTGATCATGCCCTAAATAGCATCCAAAGCAGATTTGACCAGAAAGGGTTTAAGACCTTCTCGAAGGTCGAGCAACTTTTGTTTAAAGCATGTGTCGGGGAGTGCTTCAGTCATGAATTGGATGAAGTATGCACATTCTTTTATGATGATTTTGACAAAGACGAGTTGAAAGCAGAACTGATTACTCTCCATCAACTCTACGATTCAACTGTAGGAAAGGAAGCCCCATCCATTAATAACATAAGGAAAACAATGTTAACCTTATCTAGCTCTCAAATGATGTTGATTAAAACGGCATCCCGCCTGTTTCAGTTATTATTGATCCTCCCTGCTACAAATACTACATCTGAGCTTTCATTCAGTTCCCTCAGACGTATCAAGTCCTATCTGAGCTGCACAATGGAACAGGACCGGTTAAATCATTTGATGATTCTACATAACCATCAAGATCTCTGTGATTCGCTGGATTTAAAGACTATTGCCAATGAGTATATAGCAAAAAATGAAACCAGGAAAAATGTATTTGCTACATTTAAATAATCGGAAAATGTAGCCTACGTACACTAAAGATAGGCATGTTGTACCAGGCTCCATATTTTTACCCAGTGTAGTATACTGTCATTGTTCAGCATTTTAATTTCTTTACTAAATTGCTTAGTCAATTGACAAGGAACAAAGTATGCCTTCATCTGTATATTTATTCCTGGTAGTTGTAGTATATGCAACATTATTCCTATAAATAAATATACACTGTAAATAGGCTTTCCATTTAAGCACATCCCTTAAATACATAAAGTATCGATTGAAAGTGTACCATATAGTACTGTATTAGCAATATTATTTTTCGTTCATAGGATTAATCTTACATTTTTGTCAATGTCAAAAGGCCTAATACTAAAATAACAACAATGCTGTGAGTAACAATCTTCTCTTGAGTAAACCTGCCTGTTTTGAATTCGAAGTGTTTTATTATTTTGCTTCATTAGCGCTAATGGTAGTTTAAAACATATTTTTATAAACAAAATTAATTAACTATTTATTAGATTACTATTACAAAACATTGAACTTGGTCTATACAATGTAAAAATAGCTTTTTCCCCCCAGGGCAGCCTCAGTGCTCGCTTCGCTAACAACCTGACCACTTCAATTTTCGTGGCTACGGCCCTGATTAGTTGCTCTATAATCATTGGCCAAGTTGGTTACAAGCGTCTGCATAGACAGCAGAATGTTCTGGGTTCGAATCTTGATTGGGGAAAACATATTTTTACAATCGCAGATTCCTCTTCACCTTAAATCTGAGATTTAAATCCGAATGAAAGCAACCAAGAGCTAGTCCTGTTCAACTACACAAAGCCTAAATAAATGAAAAAGATCAGTTGTTTCTCAATGAAGCCTCAGTGGACAGTTGTTGAGAGGCGCGGCGTCTTCATAGACAGAGAAGTTCCTGGGTTCGTATCCCGGTTGTAGGAACTTTTTTTACAACTGGCCATCGTTTGCTCATTGATTCAATAAATATAACCCAGAGGTAAGGAACTAGGAAGTACGCTTGCATGCGTTTGGTGTGTCGTAGTTTTGTGGGACCGGAAATAGTGTGCAGTCGGTTGGTTGTTACGATGCCCGATTGACCTCAGAGTACAGCAACATCAAAATAATCATGTAATATGTATGCAAAATGTGTACGATTAAAACCCGGGGTGGGTCGGGTACCGAAATGACCATTGTACATTTTAAGTGCTGCAGTTACTTCATACATAATTGCGATGATATAGAGCCAATTACATCAAGTTCGGTCTCGTGGGCAAATTGAATGCAATTGCCCTTTATGTATACAAGGGACGGAAATAATAATGTACATAACAATATATGCCAGTAGTGATGCCTACGATGATGTTATTTCTTACGATCATTTAAACCACTGTAGGCCTACTGTTGCAGAGTTTTGTACTTTTGCAGCACATTAATACACTGTATAGTGAAGTACAGATATAGTTTGGAATGATTGAATAGGCATTCTGGTATTCGGGTACAATGTATTTTTGTATTGTATGGATTTATTTTGCAAACAAAATAGAATATCTGTATAATCATTAATAGTTGTACAGTAGAGTATATTGCCTTAGTATATTTAACCGTGACCATACGCACAAATTGCAGGGTCTGTATCATGTTCTTCCGACTTGACGTGTATGCCATAAAATATGTAAACATAAAACAAATGCAGCAGAAGTGCAGGGCTGACAAAAAATGGACACAAAATGCCCATTTCAGGTACATGTTGATAATAAAGATAAAAGTCGGGAGTAATTGGGGGAATGTGAGAAGCAGCAATGTTGGAAATGCAAACTAGGTGTTGATGTGAATGTGATGACAGGACCTTTACCATGTAATTATTATCACTGTCATAAATGAATATTTGACAGCACTATACATGTTCAGTGATTTACACCTGGTCATTACATAACATATTGTTCTGTTCTATGTTTTTAAATGATTAAGTATCATAGACCAATTGCGACTGGAACGTACCAACCTATTGATAGAGTGAGCCAGATATTGTAATTTTAATATTGTATTGTGGTGAAGACCACAGTAATGTCGTAATGTGGCAAAGACGCAACCGTATCGATATGTGGCGAAAACGGCAACAATGTCGTAATATTACATTGCCGTAATGTTATGACGGCCGAACTCCTGGAAAAACAGTTCCGAAATTATAACTCCATCATTAAAATAAGGACAATTCACAGTGCAAAGAACATACTACCATTTACTAACTATTAATTAAGCAATACTAACAATACGGTTGATGAGTGTGTAGCCTACAGTAATTGTACATCAATAAGCAAAAAAGCACTGCGGGAAGGTAATACGCTTTTTATACTGAGAAAAGGGTGAAGTAACCTTCGAAATGACGTGTGCTATCATTCCTGATAATAATTAATAGCTACAATGTTTGTGGGCGTAAATTTGATAATACCACTTCAGACACCCTAAACATTACAGGTCCCATTGACGTCTCAGTCGAGCAATACGGGTAATTAAAGTTACACCACTCATAGCCATTCAACGACAGGTCCTTTTTCAGTTGCATAGAAAAAAGTGTCAATGGCGGGATTGGAACCTGCAACCTCTCGCTATCAAGGCGATCATACCAGGGAACAGTGAAATTAAATAATTAACAGTACAGTAATTTCACTGTTCCCTGATCATACCATTAGACCACAGAGACCTATCGGTGTAGGCGCACATATGACTGAAACACATAGTGGAGCTCCGCTCTGAGGTTGCTATTTGAAAAGCGAAGGCATGTCTACATTTTTTGGAACTGCAATAAAGATAACTTTACTTTAATGATAATTAGAGGCTTTCGTGCCCCGAAAATTTTGACGATTTAGGGGTTTCAATGGCTTATTTAATCGATTTTAGAGTCTACTAATATGTAGAAAACACATATAATTTTTTTACTCCCTGACGAATTGTGCTTTTGTGAGGGGAGCTCTCCCCGACAGGGCACCCTGGCCTCTCCCGCTGGTGCCACTCCTGTTTTGTGTACACAGTAGCCTACATTGTTGAATGAAATCATTCACACGAAAGCTTATGTCAGTTTACATCACAACTAGTTTCAAACGTACTACTCTTGCTTTGTATTAAGACTGGCTCTGTTTGGATCGGCAAAATATTATTTTATTCTTGCAAACTCAAGTTGCGTGAGAAAGCAGGGACTTCAAGCTTGCACGTCGTGAGAAAACCCCACTGGCGCCGCCGCTGGTATTCCTATATTGTAGGCCTATACTGTATGTAGAGTATTCATTTATCACTTTTAAAGTAAATCAAAACAAAAACATTTTGTTTCATTAAAACATCCATGGTAGCGCCAGGATTTACTCGACAGAGAGACCAATGTCCAATACCAGGGGGAGGGCATCTTGGAGCGTGGATGTCCCCGACGGAATCGGAAGTGGGCTGGTGCACCGAAAGATCCAACAATAGGAATAGGTAAGTCTTTAATCGAGTTTATACTCTAATAATCAGTATAAATTTCATAGAACATTACCCCACCCCTCCCCCCTTTCTAACGAATTGTGTTGTAAATATTTTATCCACTAACATAAGTACATTAATGTACATGAAACGCCAAACTTACTTCAGTAGTCTTAAATTGATTAAATAATAATAATAATAGGCCTAATAATAAACATTTATATAGCGCCAATTCAAAAATTTATCAAAGGCGCAGGAGAAAACAAACTCAGTAACATTTGGGTGAAAGGTGAAACTTTAAGTTCTAAATAGAAAGATGTGTATAAGAGACAGACTGAGATTTTGACACTTAAACAAACATATCTCAACCTAACCGAACGAACGCATTGTGCGAGATGCGAAGTACAAAAACTAATCTCACTAGAGAGGGCGCACTTTATTAACTGTATAAAGTATATATAAAAGCGAGAGTATTCCAGTGGATGCGATCTACAACCTCTGAATTTGCCTAGTACCGATGAATTCGTCCAGAAAATGGTACTGTAATATTTTATGAGAAATAGTCTGTATTTCTCATTTTTTAAATTCTTTTGCGTAAAACTAAAATTCATGGCAATATTTTTCCATGATTTATAATAATTGGAGTAATGCAAATGAATATTTTCTAAAAAAGTCAGTTTTTAGTGAAATTTTGCCGGGAATGGGGCTTTAAATGGTAATTTTACTAAATTATCTAATCTTCATCGTCACAATATTGCAAGTGGCAGTAATTTTAACTTCCATGTTACAAAGACCAATCACCTCACTTTATATTATTCCGGAATCCATGGAACAGCCTTCCGGATGCAATAAAATCAATCTCTAATTATATAACCCTTAAAATTCGGGTAAAGGGGAATCTTTTGTCATGCCTTCCCTCATTTTAGTCAATTTAGGCCTATTTAGTGAAGAAAATAAATAAATTAAACTAATGACATTTTAATTGCAAAAGATCATGGGTTTTTGCCTCTGTTCTCTAGAACAATTTTTCTTGCATGTGGTTTTTTTTTTTAATGAATTTTGAGGGTTTTTTTTTTTATGTTATCTGTTTTGCGTGTATTGGGACCCCTCTGGAAATAAATCGTGTACACTATGGTTTATCCCAGATATCAACAAAGATTACGTGTATTCTCAATTTTGTTTCTTTGTATTCTGATTATCCGGTTTTGTGATTATTAAGTTGATATCAAATAAATAAAATCAAAATGCCGCCCTGCGATATTTTTTTCCTATTCGAGAATTGCCAACGAAGAAGAATTAAAGCAGCCTGATTAGCTGTTCTATGTCACATGGCCCCTCAAATTCAGTCAGGCATGCAACACGTTGTAACACGGAGTACAGTAGTGCGAATTTGAGCCATTCTTGAATAATAGAAGCTCGAAACCTAGAGGGCATTAATTAGGCAAAGGGAACAGTTGTAATTTTACTGTTCCCCTATTCGGCCTAACATAGTTTTTGATTTCACAGTAGAAAAAATATACTGTGTAAGTGTAGGCATATCCTACAAATACAGTACAGTAATTAGGCGTAGGCCTACGTGGTAAGCTCTGCCTGCCCCCACCCCACCCAGGCGATTTTTTTTAACGCTTTTTTATATAGGCCTATATATTTTTTATTAGGCCTACTTAAACAATGCAATGAGACTCGGCTGTTTAATCGCACTACTGTACTTGTTCTATGCTCGACTGAATTTGGGGAGTCACGTAGATAAGAACAGCCAATTAGGCTGCTTAATTTTCCTTCATTGGCAATCATATAGGAGAAAAAATATCGCTGCCCGCTTGGCTTAACTATTAATACGTGGATTTAATATTATAATGGGCATAGCCTTCAAGGGCATATTCTCACAGTAGATTAAAAGTACATTGGAAAAAATACATTCACCCTTGAATATACCATAACAATTGACCAATCGGAACGTGTTATTGTTGAGGCCACGAATAGGCCTACGCGCATGTTACACAAACACGCAAAGTGGGCATACGTGAAGGCTATCTCTTGCTTTGTGAGAACTTGTAGCAATGATATAGAGTGCTCTATGCAATGATAGTGGTTCCATTTTTCCCTGGCCATGTTACCATCTATATGGCGAGTGTGGTTGGCATTAATGAACCCAATGTGCCTATGCCTATATAGACTTCATAATAAATAATATCATAGGAAAAAAATCAAAATGCGTGTAGTGTGCTATATGGATGGATGATTTGTGGAGGCCCGAATTATTTCACTACAATTTGGATTTATTTTCATCGTGGCTGGTGCCAAGATAACAGTATTCATATTTTAGTTCTTTAGAAAAAGGTAATGACAAGATAATGAAGAAACCCCATGAGGTCCTTACTCAACCATGCGTGCAAGGGTTGAAATAGAGGTCATGGCCGTCGGCCATCGTATTTGAGTATGTATAGTACTATGACATCGCACGCACAGATCAATAACAATCATGGTAGTACAGTTGTGTGGCTAATCTGAGGTGACCTCCATGGAGTAGCAGGTAAGCTAACTTGCATTTAACCATTCGAATTTTGAATGAAAACTGTAGATAAAGGCATGTTCATTGTCTAGTAATTAGGAGACTCCATAACCAATAGTGTAATGTGTGTGTAGGCTACAGTACCATAAAGCAATTATTGGACTGAGTAAATACAGGAGTACAGTATTTAACTGCTGTTTCCCACACAGTGGAGTTGAACGACCAACCGCGTTTCGGTATCAACAAAAACAACATCGTAACACGAGGGAGCGGCTTGTACAATAGTACAATAGTAAATAAGAACACGACAAGAGTAGGTGCAGAAACCAAGGCATGGTTGGTACTTAGGAAATACGGAAAACAGTAATCTCGTAAGGAATAATTCAACTGTTTTTCCTGTGTTACACCTTCTCTATGGTTACACGGAGTAGAAGCCAAAGGCAAAGCCTAGGCTAGGATCATCATGATATAATTATTGTAGGCTAACTAGACAGGTAGTAAGATAAGATGAGTATAAAGTAGTGTAGTAATCAATGTGTTAATTGTGATGCAATTGAAAATCTGGGTTCAGTTTACTGCTTGAATCAGTTAAATTGAAGTATTTAATGTTCATGAATTTGGACCATGATATAGAAAGAGTTGGCCTTCTTTTACCATGTTGGAGATACCTGGCCAAGGGAAGCCTGAGCTTGCAGTGGTTATGCCTACATTGGTACTCATACTGTACATATGGTAATAATGTTTTTATCTGAAGCAGTGTTCCCCAACAAAATGATTGGCTTACTTCCGTTGGTGCCTAGGTTTCCCCGACATGATGTTCTGTGCCCTCTCGACCTGGGGCAGATGCAGGGTTTGGCTATAGAGGGTGTGTGAGAGTTACCACCTCGGCCCCAACAAATTTTGAGAATATGGACCACTAGGTGCCCGGAAATTGCACTCTCATGTCTTAAAAATCAGCTCGAAAACTGCTGGCGCTGGCACCAGCCTCACCTTACCAGTTACCTTTCAGTACGCATTCGCTGATGAGGCATTATTGCAGGAATATTTCTGGTTTAGTTCGAATCAGACCATAATATTAACAACATTATTGCGATAATGCAGCATTCCAAAGCTGGTAATACCAAGGTAATTCAACAAAAGGACGCACATCTCGGGACATCAAAGGTTATAACTCTGGCATCGACATTCT